CAGACTCCAGCCAGCCTTTTTGAGGTCCAGCACCCCCGCACCCCCCCACACACTCAAAATTACATGTTGGTCTCTAGGCACCCTGGCTGGGCAGAGAAGTCTAGAGAAAGGCCTGCCAGCCTGTGGCTGGGCCCTACAGTGGGGCTTAGTTGGGGCTGTCACCTGGTGCTCTCAGCAGGCAGCCACCACCCTCTGGTGGCAGGAATGTGGGTGCCTCTGGGAGACTACATGGGGCCGTCACTTGGGGACCTGCCTGCTGAGACCACAATAGGTATCATAACTACAGCAAAAGCTTAGCATAGTGTTTTGGTTATGACTCCTCACAGTGTGCATGTACACCCCAGTTCCCACCATTCCTACCCCGGAAGTCTCAACCCCTTCCTGCTCACCCCACTCCCCAGGTTGGCAACTCTCCTCTTTTTTTTTCCTTTTCCTTTATTTTTATTTATTTATTGCGGGGGGGGGGATTGAACCTGGGGGCTTGAACATGTAGACAAGCCCGACTTTGCTGCTATGTGTCCCATCAGCTGTTCTGCCTGCCAAGAACTTCCCGTCTCTGGCCTTCAGTGGGTTCTCTGTGCCTTCCTTGGCCAAGCAGGTGCCGTGAGGGTGGGCCGTACTATTGCTGTTGTGTGTAGATTTGGTCCCTTCCATTGCTGAACGGTGTTCCTGAAAGGTCGGCACTGTCTCCCTGTTGGTGCATGGCTGAGCAGTACTCCAGGCAAGGGAATGACTAGAGCTTGCTGGGAATGGGAAGTCAGAGCTGAGCGCTGAAGTTACCTGCTTGCTACTCAGGTAGAAGACTGAGGCTGAGAAGGGAGGCAGTTAGTGATTCCTGGCTGGAAAGCAGGGCTCCCGGCGTTTCTCCTCCTCCCACTCCCAGCCAGCGGGACCCAGAGCTGGCTGGGAACTAGGCCAGGCCCTAAGCAGGCCAGGGATTCAGAGGAGGGAAATGGGAGTGAGCGGGAGTTTCGGTCAGACCTGGGTCATCTTTGATGTTGCTCTGGTCTGACTCCCCCGGTATTTATTTGCAATTAAAGAGATGGTTCCTAATTAGGTTGGTGGCTGCCGGAGATGACAGGACCAGAGCTCTGGAACCCCAAAGAGAAGAGGCTATCCCTGATGAGTAGAGTAGGGCCGCGTGGGCTCATGGGTATAGCCTGCCCGCTCACTGTCACTGAGGCACATCAGTTTACAGTAGACATGTCTGCACAAAACTAGGTTCTTGGAAGTTGTGGGTCTGAGCGTGGAGCCACAGCCAGGCTCATTCTAGAACTTCAGTTTTCTTCCCGTGCCTTCTCTTACAAACAGGCCCATCACCACAGGTGCCACCGGGAACTAACTGAGATGCTTTATGGAGTGTGGAAAGGGCTCCCCCACCCACTGTCCTCTCTGAGCACCTCTAAGCTGCAATGCCCTTGCCTGGTTGTTCCGACAGGCCTGGAGCCAGTGAGCACAATGACTGTCTCTTTCTACACCTGCTTGTTCACTGTTTGAGTTTCTATGGAGTCCACAGTGGCCTCCTGTGATTGATGTCTCAGGGGGCTCACGTAGCAGCTTGCTGGTGGCTCCACAGCCAGTCAAGTGGCTGCAGCCTTTGCCCTGTGTCATTCAAAGTGTTGGACTCATTCAGGGATCCTAAGTCCTGGCCCCAGCTCCGCCACTCTGTACTTCGTGTCTCCAGGCAAATCACTCTACACACACCCCCAACCTGGGGAGCCACCTTTCTGGTATAAGGCCACCAAACTGCACTTGTGGAACCCACAGGCCCTCTCTAGACCATGTTTTCCTTGGTTTCAAAGTTAGAAAATAAGTGCCCATAGGTCAAAGTAGAGACAGCACTGAGCCATGGCTCCCTGTTCCCATTTTAAAGTGTAGCTCTTGCCTAGCATGCCTAAGGTCTGGACACATGAACACACACACACACACACACACACACACACACACCCCTCTCTAGGAACACTTTGGTATCTCTGCCAGATGAAATAAGGCTAGGAGGTCACTCTCAGGGTCCTCCAGGCCTTGCCCACCACCCTTTGGCTGAACTCACCTTCAGGACAGGCTTCCTGTGAACTAGGTACATGGACACAAGATGTGTTTCATTTATTCCCTTCCTCTGCTTTAGTGAGCTCACAGCAGTGTAAGGATTTGCAGCTTGCCGGGCGGTGGTGGCGCACGCCTTTAATCCCAGCACTCGGGAGGCAGAGGCAGGCGGATCTCTGTAAGTTCGAGGCCGGGCTGGACCGATAGCCTCCAAAATAATACAGAAAAACCCTGTCTCATAAAAATAAACAAACAAACAAACAAACAAACAAAAAAAGATTTGCAGCTTTGGGGGAGGACACAGAGAGGACGGAGATTCCTCTGTTTGTATGTAGCGAGTGTGGGGAGTAGGCCATCCCCAGAGTCAGTGACCCAAGTAGGCACCTTGTCCATGACCAGAGGATGCTGGAGTAGGATGGTCCAGGAGGGTGGTCCAAGAGGTCATACAGGGCAGTATGGGCATCCAGAGCCAGACGGCTGCAGCTGTTCACCCCAGCTCATAGGTAACCAACCATCCCTGTGAGGGACCCTGTGGCCAGGCTAGGGACCAGGGCAGGGAGCTGAGAGAAACAGCGAGTCCGGCTGGACTTGGGTTGCAAAGCCTTCTAGAAGCTGGCAAGGAGAAAGTACCCCCCCCACACACACACAGACACATACACACACTCCCCCGCCTCTGGCCCCAGGCACACACCCTTATGTGAAGCTGCTACTTTGACATGTACATGATGCTGCCTTATGCCCAGGAATCCCTTTCTTAGGTGAGAGAGTAAAGTAAGCACCTACAGGACTCACAGTCCCTTGAGCAGTTGCCATTGCAGACAGGGAAGCTGAGGCTTAGAGAAGGGAAGTGACTGGCCCCAGTGTGCAGTTTTAAGGTAGAGCCTGCCTGACATTCTGCCCAGAGCAGCAGTTCTCAAGCTGTCAGCCGAGACTCCTTTGGCAAATCTCTATCCCCAGAAATACTTACATGACTATTTTATAACAGTAGCAAAACTGCACTCATGAAGTAGCGATGAGAATTTATGCTGGGTGTGGGGGGGAGGTCACGGGTCACCACAAAGTGAAGAACTGTATTGAAGGGTCACAGCATTAGGAAAGTTGAGAACCACAGATCTAGAGGATGGGGAAGAGCGCCCTCTAGCGTGATTGACTTGGGCGTCTGGGTGTAGCTCAGAGGGAGAGTTTGTGCTTGGCATTTGCAGGTTACCCTGCATTTATTTCATCGCTGGCGCCACACGCACTCGGTGAGGCTAGGTCCAGAATTCTGAGGTGTGCAACCTGGGATTCAGTTTCCTCGCCTATGAAGGCAGTGCCTAGCTCAGAGGAGGTGCCCAGTGATGCCTGGTACCCACCCTGTCTCTGCTCCCAACATAACTCCTCAGCTTCTTGGCCTCACTTGGTCTGGCTCACTAGAGAAGTCTTGTTGGCTGTGAGTAGTACCGGAAGCTCATGGCCAGTAGGCATGGCCCTGTTTTTCTGGCCCTTGAGTTCCCCAAGCTTGTGCCAAGATTGATGGCTACAGAGAGAAACGGTGGCTTGGCAGAATGGAGTTCAGGATCTCTCTGATCCCGGTCACTTGCCATGGGCTTGAGCTTGAGCTATCTAAGTCCACTAGCTGAGTACATTTAGTTGAGGATAGCCAGGATCTCCTTGCCGCCCCCCCCCCGGTCGCGCGCCGCCCCCCCCCTCCACCACCCCCCCACCCCCCCACCCCCGCTTTTAGCTGGTGTGAAGATTGGCTGTCCTCCGCTGACTGAGGACACTGTGACTGGCACCTGAATGACAAATGGCAAAGAGCATGCTCATAGGGTCCTTGTGCAGCCTAAGGTGGCAGCCTGCAGAAAACCCCCTGGGCAGTTTCTTGCTAGGAGCCAGGCAGTCTTGTATGTGTGAAAAGGTGTTCCAGGGCTGAGAATTAGAACTTAGGCAGCACAGCTTGTCTCGTGGTCCCAGTAATGACTGCCCACCTGGGCTTAGGTTGATTGTTGGTCAGTTTCCCTGGGAGGGGCTGGGGTGTTTAGAAGGCCCCAGCCAGAAGCAGGCATGACAGATCAGGTCACCTCAATGGGCAGCCATGGTCCCCACCTGCCTCTCAGAGCTGTGAGCCCAAAGCAAAGACAGGATACCAGGATACCAGAGGCTTTGGCATCTGAGACTCCTCTGAGGCTCTAGGGCTGCCTTCCAAGGCAGACCTGCCTGTATCAGGTCCTCACCCATGCAGAACTCCCTCACTGTGAGTCAGGGCTGTGTTCAAGGCCGACTGGACAAAGCACAGGTCACTGCTTTGCCACATAGTGGAAAAACTGCGGCCCAGAGAAGAGCAACACACACACTGACAACATCCACATATTTTGGGAGAGCAAAGCCCACTTTTTAAAAATAGCACTTAGCAACCACCAAGTGATGCTGCTCTGAAGTCAACTTGGTAAGGAGACTGAGGCAGGGAGTGTCAGCATTATTCTTTGGGGTGGGGGTGGGGCCTCACTCCATTGCCCAGGCTGCTTTGAGCCGTCCCTCGTCTTCCACCTCCTGAGTACCTACGACAGAAAATGCTTGCCACTGTGCTGGATAGCCTTATCTATGGAAGGCCAACAGAGTGTGCAACCGAGCAACTCTAAGAGATCCCCACCTTAACCCTGTCCTATGCTGGAAGCCCCTTCAGGAGCTCTATTGGGGTGGAGTCTGAGACTAAGGGGTTTGCATCATATCCTGCTGGGCCTCTCTGCACCCTGGGCAGGCCCTGATGACCTTGGAGACAGGGTCTGATGAGATTGTTGCACTTGCTTCATAAATTATAGCTTCTATCTGTTTGTTGGTGTTTATCTCCCCATTTGACGGTCTGACACACAGTGGGTAGGTTAGCATACATTTGCTGGTTGACCTTGGAAAACCTTGCCTAGCCTCCCCTCCCTTGCGCACCGGCAATAACCTTGCCATTTCCTGTGCTTGCCCTGCAGATGCCAGCATGTCTCCAGACGCCACCAAGCCGAGCCACTGGTGCAGCGTGGCGTACTGGGAGCACCGGACGCGCGTGGGCCGCCTCTATGCGGTGTATGACCAGGCCGTCAGCATCTTCTACGACCTACCTCAGGGCAGCGGCTTCTGCCTGGGCCAGCTCAACCTGGAGCAGCGCAGCGAGTCGGTGCGGCGCACGCGCAGCAAGATCGGCTTCGGCATCCTGCTCAGCAAGGAGCCGGATGGTGTGTGGGCCTACAACCGGGGCGAGCACCCCATCTTTGTCAACTCCCCAACGCTGGATGCGCCTGGAGGTCGCGCCCTGGTCGTGCGCAAGGTGCCACCGGGCTACTCCATCAAAGTGTTCGACTTTGAGCGCTCAGGGCTGCTGCAGCACGCAGACGCCGCCCATGGCCCCTATGATCCACACAGCGTACGCATCAGCTTTGCCAAGGGCTGGGGACCCTGCTACTCACGACAGTTCATCACCTCCTGCCCCTGTTGGCTGGAGATACTCCTCAACAACCACAGATAGCATCGAGGCTGCCACTGCGCTGCAGCGTCCCCCCACCTCCGGGGGTCAGCGCCCAGAGACACCACCCCAGGGACAACCTCGCCCTCCCCCCCAGATATCATCTACCTAGATTTAATATAAAGTTTTATATATTATATGGAAATATATATTATACTTGTAATTATGGAGTCATTTTTACAACGTAATTATTTATATATGGTGCAATGTGTGTATATGGAGAAACAAGAAAGATGCACTTTGGCTTGTAATTCTTTCAATACAGATATATTTTTTCTTTCTTTCCTTCTTTACTTTTTTAAAGAAAATTATACAGCAGAACCAGGTGGAAAAGCCTGGGTTTGATGTATAGTTTTTTAAAAATATTAATGCCCAGACAAAACTAATACCAGTCACTCTTGATAATAAAGTGTTTGCATTATAGCTTTTTTTTTAAAGCTCTCTTTCTTACAATAAGGAACCTTCAGGACTTCAGTAGGCTTTGGAGCCATCAGGGACATGGTTTCAGTACTTACTGAATTTGAGGCAGAGGGATTCAATTGAAAAGGGAGTTATCTGAACGAGGTGACACACACCTTTAATTCCAGCACTCAGGAGGCAGAAGCAAGCAGATCTTTGTGAGTTCCGGGCCATTCTGGTCTACAAAGAGAGTTCCAGGACAGACTCCAAAGCTACAAAGAAACCCTGTCTTGAAAAATCAGAGACAGAAAAAAGGAAAGAGGCAAGAGCGTGTCCCTTCTTCTCCAGGCTGGGGCGTGTCTGCTGGGTGTGGGAGGGGTGAGAGAGATTACAGGCCTGTCTGATAAGAGAGGCTCCTTCGATGTCCTGGTCTGATGGGAGAGGCTCAGGTCCCTGCCTCCCATCTCAGGGCTCTGAACAAACTAGAAAATACCATCTCTCATGACAGTCTGAGGAAGGAAGATGGAGACCTAACTCCTGTCTTGAGTTCTGGAGTGAGGCTTCTCTTAGGACCTTGATAGGACACACACACACACACCACGAGCTGTGTTAAAGGCAAAGAGTATACTTCTGATTCATTAATGGGGCATCTTACAGTTCTGGAGATGGTAGTTGGATGCTCCATCACCCTGTAGGACCAGATATGAGAGCAGCTTTCTGGAGGATAGCCTCACAGAAGGGCTCTTGTGTTTCCCTTGGAGACTTACGTGAACATAAAGAGCTCTGAGAACTCTGTAAACTAACCCACTGCGGGCAGCTTTAAGCTGCCACTATTCCCTACTGCCCACTATTGCTGTGGCAGGAGCCCCATGCTTCTGTCGCCTTGTGCAGAGCTTTTACAATCAAGCTAGGCATCTGGCGATGGCTGCCTCAGGCTAACTGGGCTGAAGGGCCGATTCCTCGCCCAAAGGTCCACCCCTCAGAGTTCTCATGACAAGGCTTTCCAAGAGCAGGTCCATTCACGGGACTGACCAAGCTGGAAGCTACTGAATTCCCCAATCCCAGCACCTCTGCCGCCTTCTACTGATCACATGAGCCCTTCCTACAAGAGGATGCAGGTGGCTCAGGGCAGGTGACAGGAGTCATAGATCATTTAACTTCATCTCCCAACGTCATTTATCCTTGGACTGTCCCCACCTCTGGTAATCCTGTCCCCACACCAAAGATCACTGGTGTCCCTAGGCTGGCTAACCACAGTTGATCCGTCTAGGACCTCCCTACTGAGACCCTGTCCTAAAGACACCAGGTGCCCCTCCCTCATGTGCCGCCAGAACCTGATTCTTAGTGTAGGACCCTTGGTTGCCACAGGCCAGTAGTGAGTCCAGGAATAAGTTCTGTGGGGAGCTGAGGTAAAATTGGGCACTCTCCTGGGATATCTCTGTCTACTTCATGTGGCGAACCCTCGTCATTGAGATAAAGCACCAAGCTGATGTTCCACAGTCAGTAGGAACAGGGGCTGGGTTCTAAATGCACCCATGAGGTGATCAGCACTGGGCTTTCTTCTTTAAACTTATGAATTGATTCTTTTGTGTGCATGTGGCTATGTGTGTATCGTGCCATCTATGTAGAGATCAGAGTTCAATCTGCAGGAGTAGGTTTACTGCTCCCGTCATGTGGGTCCCAGTGGTCATCATGGCTGGCTGGCAGCAAATGCCTTTACTCTCTGAGCCATCTTGCTGGCCCTGAATGAGACTTTGTTTAAAGTAGAGACCCAGCTGCAGGAGGAGCTTGGACCCAGCTGAGCCCAGAGATACCTTTTCCTTTTAAATTACATCCATTTGTTTGTTCGTTTTGTGTATGTGCACATGTGTAGAGGCCTAAAGAGTCTCCTTTTACTTCGTGGGTCCCAGATCCTCAGGTTGGCCATCTGTGTCATTACCAGCTGAGCTAACTCACCTGCTCTGTGAATGCTCCTGAGGGCTGAGTTCTGCTCCAGCCCCCAGGTTACAGGTGAGGGTGCTGGGTCCCTCCAGCTGGTTGAGTTGCTAAGTTGGCCATCTTGGGCAGCAGCTGCCTCCAGCCTAAAACCCAGCAGTGACAGCCTGGACACCCCCCAGACCACCCAAGATCTGGTGACTCATTCTCCAAGGAGACACTTCTAAACAAAGCCTGGGTCCTTGAAGAATGCTGAGAGCCTGGTTCCTCCTGGTGCTAGAAAAGGAGGTAGGTGGGATTTACTGTGCCCAAAAAGAAGCCTGGGCAGCCTATGCCCCAAGGGCACACCTGACATGGACTAAGTTTTTGAAGAATCGTTAACACCTCCATTGGGTTCTTTCCATTGAGCACACCACCCCCATCTCTCCCTCTGCCTCTGGCTTTTTTTTTTTTTTTTGAGGTTTAGGGTTCAACTAAGAATGAGAAAAGCAGGCTAATGGGCGGTGGTGCCAGTCCTGAAAACTGTGTACCTGTCTCCAGTGAGGTTCAGAGAGAGATTATGAGTACCCAAGGTCACACACATTTTATTCATCTCTATGGAGTGGCTGGTGCTGCAAACCTCTTACCCAGCCCTCCTCCATTCTACACTCCCATCCCACGCATGGCAGAGGCCTAGAAGTTCCAGCTACCTCTAGCTGTAACTGCCTTATTCTGCGTGACCTTGCCCAAGTGAGTCACCATCTCTGTTTTGGTCCCCTCGTCTGTAAAAGTGGACTTGGCTAGTACTGGGAACTGGGAGGGGGTGTGAACTCATGCTGATGCCACTCAGAGCCAGCACACATTGAGGATCCAGTGGCATTACCAAGGGAGTTGAATGGCAGCCCAAGGGGGTAAGAAAAACCTGGGTTTGAATACTCAGCAAATGGGAGGACTTGAAGAAGTGACTAGATCTGTCACTCTTTGATGATCTTGGCCAGTCGCCTGTAACCCGATGTGCCTAGTCATGGGCTCCCAAGATCCTCTGCTTCTTCTCCAATCCATTCTCTACCCAGAATGCTAAGGTTCTACTAACAAGTGGGAGTGTGCTTCCTCCTTGGCACAGGGCTACCTCCCTGTCCCTAAGGATGGAGGCCAGCCTTTAGAGTGGCTTAGGATGATGGTGGAGGAAACCTGGCACTGCCTGACTCAACCCAGGTCCCTCAGGGTCCCTCATCCACCAGCTGCCTCCTCTTCAGGCCATGGTCTTTCTGTCCTCATTGATCCAGCTAGTATGTTCCATCCATGTTGTAGCCATCATGACTCCAAGCATCTCCCTTCCCCCGTGGTTCTAGGCTAGCCCAGTCAAGGCCACAGGGGACAGATCTGGGATGTTTGTAGAACGAAAGGGTCATGGAGAGCATGGGTGTGGGAGTATTCTATAAACTCTAAGGGACCACGAAGGCCTCCAGAAGGGTGTGTTTATTAGGATGGTGTGACAACACCCAGCTGGATTTTCCCATGGTTGCTAAGACTATTCCCCCTGCTCCAGGCTCGGGGACTGAGGACCTGCAGCCTTGTTGTATCTTCTTAGACGTTCATGGAGATGGGAGGTCCATTGGGTGATACAGAAGGCAGGTTGGGGCATGTCAGTGCTGGGAAAGCCCCAGAATGCCTCTAGTTCTATTCCCATGACAGAAGTGAGGACCAGAGAGGGGGCGGAGTGCTCACTGGGGCCATATAGTAGGACAGTGGCAGAAGGAGGCCAAACCTGGAGCACCTTCAGTTGAGGCCAGCACCAACGTAAGCAGAACCTTGGAGAGGCAAGGATGGCAGGAAGGCAGGTCAGAGGTTGAGTTGTACTTTGGTAAAATATATGTAACAAAACTTACTGTGGGTGTGGGTGTGCATGTGCATGCGTGTGTGTGCACATATATGTGTGCATTTATGCATGTATGTACGTACGCCTGCATGTGTGCGAGTGTATGTGCACTTGTGCAGGCAGGTATGCATACATATTGTATTTGTGGAGAAAGAGGTCAATCTCAGGAGCCACCCACTTGGGGTTCTTTGTTTGTTTGTTTTGTTTTGTTTTCTAAAGACAGGGTTTCTCTGTAGCTTTGGAGCCTGTCGTAGAACTTGCTCTATAAACCAGGTTAGCCTCAAACTCATAGAGATCTGCCTGCCTCTGGCTCCCAAGTGCTGGGATTAAAGGTGTGTACCACCACCACCTGGCCCCACCTGGTTTTTTAAACTAAATTATCACTGTGTGTATGCATGCGTGATATACTTCAGGGAGGGTTTGTGGAGGTCAGAGGACAACACGGTGGAGTTGGGTTTTGGTTCTGAAATTAAAATTCAGATTATCAGGCTTGCACAGCAAGAACTTTTACTAGTTGAACAATCCTACCTGCACTGATGATTGGTTTTGTTTGTTTGGCCAACTTGGCACAAGCTGGAGTCACATGGGAAGTCGGAACTTCAGTTAGAACACCTCCATCAGATTGGCAAGCCTGTGGAACATTCTCTTGATTAACCAGGGAGGACCGCACCCAGAGAGGATAATGCATCCATGGGCATGTGGTCCTGAGTGGTTTAAGAAAGGTAGCTGAGCCAGACATGGTAGTGCACATCTCTAACCCCTGCACTCTGAAGGCAGAGGCAGCCACTTGTCTTTGAGTTTAAGATCAGCCTGGTCAAAGAGTAAATTCTAAGACAGCCAGGGCTACACAGAGAAACTGTGTGTATGTGTGTATGTGGGGGGGGGGGGGAAATAGCTGAACTCCCAGCACTCAGGAGGAAGAGATGGCCAGATCACTGAGTTCAATGCCAGCCTGGTTTATAAAACAAGTTTCAGGACAGCCAGGACTATACAGAGAAATAAAAGAGAGAGAGAGAGAGAGAGAGAGAGAGAGAGAGAGAGAGAGGAAGGAAGGAAGGAAGGAAGGAAGGAAGGAAGGAAGGAAGGAAGGAAGGAAGCTGAGCAAGTCAGTAAGCAGGATTCCTCTGTGGCCTCTGCTTCAGCTCCTGCCTCCAGATTTCTGCCTTGAGTTTCTGCTCTGACTTTGCTCAGTGATGGACTATGGTGTGGATGTATAAACCAAATAAACCCA